TCTCTGGGGGCAGGGAGGAAGAAGGGAGGAATCCCCGGTGGAAGCCAGACTGAACGTACTGGACCCAGTTTGTCTGTTCTGTTCTAGCTCTGATGTTTGTCTTTTCCTGACCCTGTATTCTCTGCCGAGGCTTGGAGATGCTCATCACTCCATTTGCTGGAGGAAACACGACTCAGTCTCCGCTTAACTACTGACATGCCGTTGCAGCCTTTTGTGTCGTTTACTTCAGTTATTTCTCGGAGTAAGATTCATCTAGCAAAAAGGAGTATCTGTTTAGTTTTTGTAGCTCCCATCAAGTAAATGCTGACCATCAAGGAAATGACATAATTCTGTAATTCAGGACAACACAGATGAAACCCAGCAGGATAATGTTAAGTTAAATAAGCCATCACAGAAAGACAAGCTCTACATGGTTTCACTCACAGGCAGAATAAAACCAACCTGATCTCAGAGAAGGTGAGATCAGAATGGTGGTTACAAGGGGTCTTAGGGAAGTAGGAAGGGGGTAAGGGTCTGGTTCAGTTACAGTGGAGCAAGAAATTGTGTGTGCATGGCAGGATCATGATAGACAAGTCACTGTAAATTTTAAAAAGCTATAATCGAGGCTGGAGAAATGGCTCTGGGGCTAAGAGTACTGGCTGCTCTTGCAGAGGATCCAGGTTTGGTTTCCTACATTCACAAGGAGACTTCAGCTCTAGGTGATCTGATGCTCACTACTGGCCTCTTCTGGTACTGCACACAATTGGTACACATACATATATATATATGCAGGCACACACACATAAACTATTAAAATAATTGCCAGGCAGTGGTGGGGCACGCCTTTAGTCCCAGAACTCTGGACGCAGAAGTAGGTGTATCTTTGTGAGTTCAAGGCCAGTCTGGTCTACAGAGTGAAGTTCAGGGCTACACAGAGAGGCCCTGTCTCAAAAACAAAACAACAACAAAAAAGCAAAAAACAAACAAAAAGTGTAACTTGAAAGAAGGGTGAGACATGGAGTGAGACACGGTCAGCCCATGTGACATAACCAGCTAATGTCTAGCCATGACTCTTGAGAACACAGGAGATTGTTCTGTCTCTGACACGGGCAAATGCTGACATCATCAATAACTGCCTTTGCTAGCTGGCGATCACACAACAGTCTATCTGGATAGTTTCCCTCGGCATAGGCTCCAGCTAGCCAGGAGCTGCTTATTATGCCTTCTCTGCAGGCCAAGGGCTTGGGATATGCATATGTAATAATCTTCCCTGGGAGTTTGGGTGATGTGAGGTCATTTCCGGGAAAAGAAGTGACCCATCCTGACAACGAGAGTCCAGTTTTGAGCGTGGGGAAATGACCAGCATACCCACCTTCTTGTAGGTTCCCTGGATGGCTCAGTTTCCAGTGCTCAATTACACAACAGCTGTAATCCCCTTTGGGAGGCTGAAGCATGAGGTCTGAGAGTCTGAGGCCAGCCTGGGCAACACAGTAAGACCTTGTCTAGAAAATTAGGGACTAGAGACAGCTAGTAAGGGCATGGACTGCTCTCACAGAGGACATGAGTTAGGTTCCCAGAACCTGAATGACAGGCAGCTCACAACCATCTGTCACTCCAGTTCCAAAGGATCCAATGTCCTTTTCTGGCCTCCTCAGTAGCCAGGCATGCACATGGTCCACAGACATACCTGCAGGCAACCACTCATACACATAAGATAAAAATAAATAAAATCTAAAAAAAATTTTTTTGGTTTGGTACTAGGACAGAGCTACCAATAATTTCTGAAATTGCCCTAAACATATTTCTGCTATTTCATATTAGAAATTTATTTGAAGCAATATTCTCAGCATTACTGATTATAAAATCAAAATATTGATCCACTCTGAAAAATGCTGAAGTTCTCTGTGTTTTGCAGCATCAAATCGTCAGCCAAGATTCAATTCTTTACATAAAAAAGATGCACATCTATTTCATTAGTATGCAAATTAGATTTTGTCTTGAATAAATGTTAAAATTATTTATATTTATATATACACACAAAAGAACTGTTATAAAATAGATTTTTTAGGAATTATTATTTATAAATGTTTGATCTGTATGCCTGCATACACCTATATACATGGAGTCATATAAAACTTTCACAGGTGAAAAAGCGTCGTGAATGGAAAAAAACCTCACTCTGGACAGATTTCCAGAGGGCATGGGTCACTTCCTACCTTGGGGATCTAAGAAATATCTGCTACTTTGGACTTGGCAGAAAGCACCTTAGCTTGCCTGTACTATCTATTCCAATACTTTGACCTCTGCAAAGCTGTTTCCTAATGTGTAAAATGGGAATAAGGCTGGTAAGTTGCTTAGGGACAGAACAGGAGTAATGCATTCGAGGACCACTGTCCCAAGGGGATTAAACCCCGGCAAATGCTAGTCACTGCTATTACTACTCCCTGGCATAATTTTTCCAGCTCTGTGTGACCCCTTTTCTTCAACGGTGTCCATGGACGTCACCCTTTTTGAAAACTACTGCACTGCTGATTTATTGTCAATTTCTTTTTTTTTTATTTCTTCCCTTTTTTTCTTTCTCTGGAGAAAGGGTCTCACTACACAGCCCTATCTCTCCTGGAACTCATCATGCAGACAAAGGTGGTCTCCAACTCACAGAGATGGTATAGTGTGTGCAGTCAGAGAGTGAAGAATCCTGGAAGCCCACGGCCAGCTAACCTAGGGGACACTGCATGGAAGAGCAAAGAGATCCTGTGTCAAGCAAGGACTGACACCCATGCTTTCTTCCGATTGCTGTACCTGCAATGTGGAACATGTATGTCTGCGATCACATACACACACACACACACACACACCCCACAGAGCACACAAAAATGATTGAAAAACAAACCTTAAAAATATACATTTAAAAAAGGGAGAAAAGGGGAGCAAATAAAATCCCGATTACAACATAAAAGAGCCGAGTGTTTACTGCAGAGGAAGAGAGAATGAAGGCACGGGATGCCCTGGCCTTCAAGGTAGAGGGACTGCAGGGGGCGGGGCCGCAGGGGGCGGGGCCGCAGGGGGCGGGGCTGCAGGCAGCTTTTCGGACCAGAGAGTGGTACTCTCCTACTGACAACAGGGAGGCAGAGGGCTTCAATAGATAGCAAGGTAGCAGCTTCTGGCAATACAAGCTGAAAGAACCGGAAGATGCCCTGAGCTCAGGGACACCAACACCACACTGCAGCTCTGTGTCACCTCAGTCTGCCCTACAGAGCTGAGCATCCTAGGTGGGCCTTGTCTGAAGTCTGTTTGCAATCCCTTTTGTTGTGTACCAAAAGATCAATACATACTTTTTTTTTTTTTTTGGTCTTTTAAGACAGGGATTTACTCTGTAGCCCAGGCTGGCCCGGCTTCAGTCTCCCTCATGCCGGGAGGACACAGAAGCATGAGCACTAAGGGCTGTCCAGTATCTCCTTAACAAGCTGTGCCACGTGAAGTGACTTTATGTGACCAGTGAAGTCCCGCTGTTCACTGGCCTCTGCTTAGTATCAACTGCCAAGCTTCTTTACCGAAAGATTCCTTGGATAATACCTGCTGTACTCACTCTGTGTTTCAATTGGTAGAACACATCACTCCAAGAGCAGTGTCTTCATAAACCTGGAGAAGAATTATTTACAGCGGAAATGCACCTAGATGCACACTGCATATATCCAGGGGCTACATTTCAGCTTCAAGGCATTGAAACCAGTTAGTGGGATGTTTTACAAACTAATCATCAGAATAATTTCTTGGTAAAAATCTCTTTGCATAGTTTTCCATCACAAGAAGCACATAGTTAATTTGTTTCCAAGTCAGTGCAGAAAAAGGTCCTTAGAAATACTGCTTTCCTGGCTTCCTTTCTTCCTTTCTCTCTCTCTCTCTCTCTCTCTCTCTCTCTCTCTCTCTCTCTCTCTCTCTCTCTTAAACAAACAAAAAAAGCAAAACAAACAAACAAACAAAAACCCCGAGGAGCTGGAGGGATGGCTCAGCAGTTTCCAGCACTGGCTATTCTTGCAGGGACTCAGGTTCAGTTCCCAGTTACTCACATAGAGGCTCACAACTACGTGTAATTCCAGTTCCAGGAGATCCGAGATTCTTGGACCCTGCATGTACAGGTGCACAAACATACATTCAGGCAAAACACCCATCCACATAAAAAAAATTTAAAAATTCAAAAAGGGGCTGGAGGGATGGCTCTGAGGTTAAGAGCACTTTCTGCTCTTCTGGAGGTCCCGAGTTCGATTCCCAGCAACCTCATGGTGGCTCACAACCATCTGTAATGAGATCTGGTGCCCTCTTCTGACCTGCAGGAATACATGCTGCAGACAGAACACTGTATACATAATAAATAAATAAATCTTTTAAAAAATTTAGCCAAGCGTTGGTGGCACACGCCTTTAATCCCAGTACTCAGAAGGCAGGAGAATCTCGTGAATTCGAAGCCAGCCTGGTCTACAGAGAGTTCCAGGACAGGCTCCAAAGCAATACAGAGAAACCCTGTCTCGAAAACCAAAAAAAAAAAGCCGGGCGTTGGTGGCGCACGCCTTTAATCCCAGCACTCGGGAGGCAGAGGCAGGCGGATCTCTGTGAGTTGGAGGCCAGCCTGGTCTACAAAGTGAGTTCCAGGACAGCCTCCAAAGCCACAGAGAAACCCTGTCTCGAAAAAAAACCAAAAAAAAAAAATTAAAAAAAAATTAAAAAGTTGGGTGCCAAGCCTGTTGGTATACATCTTTAATCCCTGCTCTCTAGAGGCAGAGGCAGGTGGATCTCTGTGAGTTTGAAACCAGTGAGTTCGAAGTGAGCCTCGTTTACATAGTGAACTCCAAGACAGCCAAGGCTACAGAGAGAGATCATGTTAAAAACAAAAAAAAGTCTGACAAACGCTGTTTTACATATCCACTCTCAGAGATGTGCACTGTAAATTTAAATTTAAATTAAAACCCCTAAGAGCTCATGATATGACTCTCTCCATTTTTGTTTAATTAAAAATTTTTTTACCATGGGAGAGCTTGAACAAGTCCCCCACCACCACAATTGTGCAGCCAAGTTTCCTAAACTGGGGAAATGGCTGAGTCAGCACATGTGGAGTATGATGGAGAAGCCGTGCCCTGGGACACCACCTTCGTGATCATGGCACCTCCCCTGCCAGGTAAGGACTCTTCGTTTCTTTAACGAAGCATTTCCCAAATACATTTATCACAGACCCTTTTCTTGGAGAAACAACCTTTGACATCTTGCCAGAGAACCATTTAGGAAACGCTGGGCTAGACAAACCCTTCTCTGCTCCCAGTAAGTGCTCACTGAAGATGCTAGCAGGGAAAGGAAAACTTCAGAAGTCATGTTACTAAAGATACCTCAGAGCTGGACACATGCTTCCGTCTTCTGTTATTGGCCGCACTAGTTTTTCGTTCACTTTCTAAACAAGTTAATACACAGAAAAAGGGATTTTTGACAGCTGTATTAATTTTACAAAATACCCATGCCAAAATGAATATCCCAGGCATTTTCTAGCTTTAGCCATTGCATATATCTCTTTGTGCATTTCAATACATACAAACATATGTACATACATACATGCATACAAGTGCCTTTGTCAGCTTTGTCAGTTCTTCACAGAAGGGATACTAAAGGCTGAGCGCACATACACACACACACACACACACAGATACCAGTGATGAGGACTAAAGCTAGTTGCTTGTGTCTGTGAGGCAAGTACTGCACCACGAGTTATATCCTTGGTCCCTGATTAAGTTTAGGAGGAAAAATAACTTTAGCCCATATTAAGAAGGGTGAGAGAGCCGGGTGGTGGTAGTACACATCTTTAATCCCAGCATTCAGGAGGCAGAGACAGGCAGATCTTTCTGAGTTAGATGCCAGCCTGGTCTACAGTGAGTTCCAAGATAACCAGAGCTACACAGAGAAACCCTCTCTCAACCCTCCCACTAAAGAAGGGTAAGAGAGCCAGGTGTGGTGACCAATTTATAATCCCTGCACTCTGGAGACAGGAGCAGGTGGGTCTCTGTGAGTTCAAGGCCAGCCTGGTCTACAAAGAGGGACCCTGCCTAAAAATAAATAAACAACTGTAGGAGAGTGAGAATGTTGTATTAGGTTAGAGCTTCTGTTCCTTTAAATTTATAAACTCTCAAAGGAAGCCTGTGTATACAAAATACTTTTTTTTTCATTGAAGTTGAACTGTAATATCCTTCCAGAAAGGAAAGGTAAATGTTGCATCCTATCCAAATTTGTGCTTTCCTTCTGTGGGTCTCAGAATGTCCTGGAAGATGTTTGATGGAGGGAAATTGTGGAGGGACCCTGAAGTCTGCAATTTTGAGACTCTCCCAATTTCTCGTCCAGGAATGCTCTCCTGAGGGCCACTGATCTTCTCCTACAGAGCCCCTGAAGAGTCTCCCTCAGCAGGTAGGGGATCCCATGCAGTTTCTGTGAGCACCAATCCCTGGGGACATTTCTGAAGTTCAAAGGCTAAGATTTGCCATTTTGTTGTAGATGTATCCTTGTTTGGTGTTTCTGTGTCTCAAATCCTGCGTGGTTCTCTATGAGGGGCCTGATGCTGGAGACCCATAACCCTAGCTACTCAGAGGCTGAGGGAGGAGGATGGCAAGTTCAAGGCCTGACGGGGCAATTTATCAAAGACCGTGTCTCAAAATAAAAAAGGAAAAGGGGACTGGTGCATCGCGGAAGAGACTTCTCCCCTAGTGTGTACAAGGTCCTAGGTTCAGTCTCTGTGAGTGAGGGAGAGAAGGAAAGGGGTGGGGAGAGAAAGTGGGGGAGAGGGGGAGGTGACTGGGAGAAAGGTTGAGAAGGGGGAGGGCAAGGGAGGGGGGAATGGGGGAGGGGGAGACCAAGACGGAGAGACTTCTGGGAGAAAGGCTGAGGACACAGACCTGACTGGTTGGTAGCTCATCAGCAGAAGAAAGCTGGAAGCTGTAACTACACTCTGATGGTCACTCTGGAGTCCGTAAAGCCGTAAGATAAACACAGTGGGCCGAGCAGACAGTTTGGGTGAGAGGAAAGCCCCAGGTTCACTTCCCTCATGCACCTTCCTCGTCTACCCTCTTCTCTTTCTTTCCTCCTCCTCACTTTCCTCCTCTTTTTTTTTCCCTTTTAAATTTTGTTTGTTTGGGACAAGAGCTCTCTTTCTCAGCCCAGGCAGGGTTCAAACTCATGGTCCTCCTGCCTTCATATCACTATGCTGGGATCCAATACTCCATTTAGACTAAACATCAAAGTGGCCTGTAGCGTGATCTTCTGAAGTCAGATGGATTCAAGTCGTGGCTCAGTGGCTAAAGGACTGTGAGAGCAATTTAATGTTTCCTAACATCCTCTCAGGAGCACAAGGCTGACCAGAAGCCATAGATTGCTGAGGTTACTCCCATGCCAAAAGAGCATCATACTGTATGATATCTGCTTGGGGAAAGACCAAAACTCCCAATCTGAAGTACTGCTGCTTCTGGGCACCAAGCTCCTTCACAGCAGGCTGATGTTGAAAAACCATTGGCTGAACCATCCTAAGACTGAATCCACCTGTGGCATCAAAGGTCAGCTCTTCGACAGGTTGTAGTGTGCAGGGCTAAGACGGGACAATGTGCCAGGTAGACAGAGATGGTGCCTCCTCGAACCACACTTTGATCCCACACTTTCTGAAATTGTTCTTTTCATCAGGTTCTGCCAAACAAACTCTTGGCTTTCTTGACTTTTTTTGCACACACAAAGGAAAATTAGACAGCGTCACTATACTCTTCAGCTGTTCTCACACACAGAGCCCCTGCTTTCTGCATTGCTTGTGTGACTCAGAGTTCCTGCTGATTCACCCTCTGTGTCGCCAAGGGCATCTGTGACGCAGCGTTTCTTGAAAATATCCTCAAGTCCCTAAGCTTCTTGGAGCCGGGCCCTTTCCTTGCCCATTTTTCGGCTCCTGTATGAGACTGCTGCCAATCATGTGACTGCCCATCATTCTCCCTAGCTCTTCTTCCATAAGCACTGGCTTCTTGGGGGTGAAGAGACTACCCCAGGAGCTGGAGAGCCAAGAGCACATAATGCTCTCCCAGAGGACCTATGGTCAGTTCCCAGCATCCAAGTCCGGTGAGTCACAACCACCTGTAACCCCAGCTCTTAGGGATATGATGTCGTCTTCTGGACTCTGTGGGCCCCTGCACACTACGTGGTCCCTGCACATGTGTGCAGGAGTGTGTGAACACACACACACACACACACACAGGATAAAAGATGCACTGTATTCTTCCTTCTGACATTTTATTTCAAGCAATTAGCATGCAGTGTCTGAGTCTGGACACTGGTGTCTCGGATGGTCACAAGCCTGAGAGTGAGGACACCTGTGGCCTGGTCAACAGGTTGTGAGACATCTTCGATTACAAGCTGTGCTCTGAATTGTAATTTATCCATTTAAAGTGCAAACTTGAGAATTCAGTACACTCAGAGTCCACTGACAAATCAATCTGTGCACATCATCATCCTGAAGCCTATGAGCAGTTGGTACCCATTCCTCCCCTCCCAGCCCCTAGCAACCATTGATCTACTTCCTATCTCTACAGCTATGTCTATTCTGGATATTTCTTGTAAATGGAACCCTAACATGTGATCTTTTGTGACTGGTTTCTTTTACTTAGCTTCATGTTTTCAAGGCTCATGCTTGTTGCTGAATATATAGTATTTGTATATTTGTATACTTTTCTCATTTAAAATTATTTTTAGACTTAATTTTTATTGTATGTATATGGCTGTTTTGCTCGTATGTATGGTGTGTGTGTGGGTGTGTGTATGTATGTATCTATGTGCGCCACATGCATAGAGTATGAGGAGGCCAGAAGAGAGAATCAGAGTCCCTGGAACTGGAGTTACAGTTGTTGTAAACCACCATGTGGGTTCTGGGAAGCAAACCCAGGTCCTCTGCAAACACAGCAAGTGCTTTTAACCACCGAGTCATCCTCCAGCCCCTGTATCCTTTTCTTGTTTAATACTCTCATTTTATTTTACTTAGCCACTCATTTTAGGGAGTTAGTGAAGTCCTAAGTGAGTGTGTGTTGTATGGCATGGGCACAGCTAGGTCAAAGACCCCAAAGTCTCAGATACATGGAGATGCAGATGGATGGTAAAGCTTTCATCGGGTCTGAGTGTGAGTGTTGACAGTATCAGAAAATGTCCACCACTGTCTTCTCTCTCCCTTGTGTCTGGCCTGAAGACTGCTCCCCCACAGAGCTGCTCCTACTGCGCTTAGCTAAATCTGCCTCCTTGTTCAGCTGTGTATAATAACTACACCAGTTTACCTCTCTCAGCTGAACGCAGTAATCCTGCCTCCTTGCTCAACTGTATATAATAAACACCCTGCACTTAGGGATCCGTGGCTGCTCCATTCAAGCAAGCACAGGCCACCTCCTCCCAGCTTTTCTGTCTGTGCATCTGTCCTTTCTTTATTCCCTCACTGCCCCCAGTCAGGGTTCCTAGACCCAAGATGTACAAAGATGTGGCAACTTAGCACCTGATGTGCACTTGGACTGGTTATGAATTGTGGCAGTACACATGTGTCCATGTACAGTTCTGTGGTGATGCATTGTTTATGAGCTAATAAAGCCACTAAAGATCAGAATGCAAAGCTGGACACAGCCATAGAAGCTGGGCAGTGGTGGTACATTCCTGTAATCCCAGGACTCAGGAGACGGAGGCAGATGGATCTCTGTGAGTTCAAGGCCACCCAGTGCTACATGAGAATGAATCAGTCTAAATGAGAAACAGAGATCACACCTTTAATCCCAGCACTAGAGAGGAATATAAAATAGGAACAGGGTATTCAGTATTCAGTCTTGGACAATTAGTCTCCAGACACGCTGGGGATTTGTGGAGACAGGATCCCCCTTTTAGTCTGAGGTAGAGGTTAGAGCTAGTGGCTGGCTGTTTTGCTTTCTGATCTTCAGCTTGAACCACAATGTCCGTCTCTGGGTTTATATTATTCGTACTACACAGTTCTCTGTGCAGCTGTGTTTTAACTGGGTATGTGTCCAGGAGTGACGTGCTGGACCAACAGTTGGAGGAACTGTCACTCCAAGCTGAGGAGAAGTGGCACCATCTACAGCAGAGCATGCACACTCCAGTTTCCTCACACCTTGCCCATCAACTGTTATTTTTATCCTTCTGTCAGTGCAGTGAACAGGGGGTCTTGCTGTGTCTTAGGCTGGCTTGAAATCTATTATGCAATCTAGGTTGGCCTCAGTTTGAGATTCCTCTGCCTCAGCTTTGCATCACTGGGATTATACACGTGCACCACCATGCCTGCTTCCTGTCTTTCTATTCTATTGATCCAAGTGGGTGAGAATTAGTAGCTATTTAATTTTTGCATTGCTTTTATTTTTTTTAAAGTACTCCCCCTCCTTGCCCCGCTCCCCGCATTTCTGATCTTTACAAGATTTTTCAGTGTTCCTCCAGGAAGCAAACATCAACAATGATTTGCTGGCTTGCTCAAGACAGCTCAGTTAGCCACAGAATGTCAATGAGAATATAATCAGGATTTTGACTCTGGGAGCACTGTCCTTGTACCACCTTGTTATTCCAACTCCGGAGGAGGCAGGTCAAGGGTCACAGTGAACTGAAGGGAAGGTGGGGACTTGGTGCAGGACCGCTGCAGGACACACAACGGTAGCACCGTTCTGAAATCTTGACCTTGCTGCTTTCCTCTCAAGACAGGAATACCTCACAGGACATGCTGGTCTGCAGCAGAATATTAATATGCTACAAGCCCAGTTAGAGGTAGGGAGGGGCAGAGGTGAGGAAAGAGGAGGAGGGAAGGAGGAAAAGGATGATGGAGAGGAAGCGAAAGAGAGGAGGAGCCTACAGCTTGGAGAGGACATCCATCATCTGCAGCTTCACCTGCACTGTCTATGGGAAAAGGCTGCACCATCAGGGCTAGGCTCTTGGAACACCAAGGAAGAATAACTACTTAGCTCTTGCCTCTTCCAACGGGTGTGGTAGGAGTCAGCCTTGTTTTGTAAAATAGACTCATTGATTGCTTTTCATGCTTATGAACTAAGGGAACCGAAGAATGCCTGCTCGTGCATCCATTTTCTATTCATGAATTATCTCCTTTCTGTGCAAAGTACAAATCAATATTTTATGAAATAATCTCACTGGAGATTAAGCTCACAGCATTATTCCAATCAGAGAGTCTTCGTGTTGATCAGCACCAGCTGAGTGAGGCCTAAAGCTGCTACAGGAAGCTCTCCTGCCTCACTTGGAAAGGCAACTTTGACTTGCTAGACTGTGAAATCTTTCTAGCATTACAGAGACAGTGTTTTAGCCTGTTTTTCCTTCCTATCATAAAATACCCATGGCTGGGTAACTTTGTAAACAAATGAGGTTCGCTTAGCTTTGGAGGTTCAAGGGTTCACATGTAAAGATGCTTGCTCTCTTGCTATCGGAGTCTGGAAGAGCTCAGGGTATCACATGGGAACAGGCAGTCATGTGGTGTGTGTGTGTGTGTGTGTGTGAGAGAGAGAGAGAGAGAGAGAGAGAGAGAGAGAGAGAGAGAGAGAGAGAGCTGCTCTTGCTCCTTCTGAGAGAGAGAGAGAGAGCTGCTCTTGCTCCTTCTTCCAAAGCCACAAGGATTTGTTCACCATACACTTTGATGACTTTATTAGCCCTAATCCTTCCCAAAGGCCGTACGTACCTCTGAACATTGGAGTTGGGTTAAGTTTTTCACCCACTTAATATCTCACAGTGGGAATTAAATTTCAGAACATGAAGCCTTGGGGGATAGATAAAAACCACATCCCAACCACAGCTATCAGCGTGTGGCAAAGCTCTCGAAGCCTGATACTCGTTTCGGGATATTTCCAAAAGATACACTCCCACTCTGAGTGTGGCAGCATGGAGTAGGCTCTCCATGCACGCTGGTGAGGCTGAGAGGCCGTCACACCAGACGCCCTCCGCTTACCTTGTCCTCACTGGCCCTGGATGCCCTTGTTTTCTTTTCAGATTGGAAGGCAGAATATCATAGCACCACACAATCCACATCCGGAAAACTTTAAGTTCTACATGTTGCTTCTATGTCTCCTGCCTATAATTTATACAGTTGTAATCTGTGCAATACTATTTTGAAATTTTGTTTTATTAACCTCATATTTTAAATACTTTCTATTTTGTATTATTTTCATAAGTGTTGTAGTGGCTATGTAATATTTTGTTGTGATCTATTAAATCTTTCTCTGCTTCAGGACATGGTATTATGGTTTGCCTGAGAAACATAGTCACTAGGACACACACACACACACACACACCCTCACTACAGCATCTTAGGAATCTATACGTCCTTGTATTTGTATTGCTGTGCTCATATATTCACATGATGCACACATCTTAGCCAAAAATGAACTGGATAGGATGGATTCCACATAAGACTGTATTGCAAGGCCTAGGCTTAGCTTCTCTAAGAACACTCCATAATTGTCACACAACAAAGTCACCGAGTGATGGACTTTTCAGAAAATCACCCTAGTCTAAGCACTACATGGCGTCATACATGGTGTCATATTATTGAATCCTGTGGTGGCTTCCAAGCCTTTTCTCCTTTGTACTAGGAGGAAAGAACCCTGCTTCATGGGAGAGAGAAAAACAACAGCAACAACAACAAAAGCAGCAGCAACAAGAGCCCTTCACATCACTGAGCATCTCCTGGCATTCATGGGGTTTGTTCACTAGTTGTCCAACTTCATGAGTTAGTTGTTTTTCTTTTGTGGTACTAAAAATTGAGCTTGGTGCTTTGACCAAGCTAGGCTGGGGTTCTACCACCAAAATACATTTCCAACCTGAGACAGCATTTAAAAAATGTATTACTTTTAGGTCTCCTTTATGTATATGCATGTTTGCCTGCATGTGAACATGTACACCATGAGCTGCCACATCCTCAGGGGCTGGAAGAGTGCTAGATCTGCATGAACTGGAGTTACAGATGGTTGTGCGCTGCCTGTGGGTGCTGAGAACTAAAACCAGGTCCTCTGCAAAAGCAGCTGGTGCTCTTACCACCGAGCCATCTCTCCAGCCCCATTGTTATTATTATTATTACTTTAAGCCTCATTTTGTAGAAGAGCAATGAAGGCTGAGAGACACATTAGAGAAATGAGATGTGGGTTCCCTGTAGCTGCGTCATTGAACTGGTTCAGGTTCTTCATCTATAAAACAAGAATAATAACCGACCTGCTTTATGGGGCCACTGCGAGACAGTATCTGAAAAGAATGGGGCATTGTTTGGCTCATATCAAGACCCAAATACAGGAGAATCACAGGGGCTGTCACTATTCTCCTTGTTCAGAGACAACCCAGAGGCTCCTGACCTCTCCGACCCCAAGCCCACGGCCCATCACTGCACCTTGTCTTCCTCATTACCGTTATTTCCCTTGCTATTTTCAGGAATACTTGGAAAGATCTAGAAGTACCCGACACTGCTTTGTGTCAGCATCTCAGATCACAATCAGCTGAAGTCTCTGTCACCATCAGCTGCCCGTTTCTGGCCATAGTGTTTGCAATATGACCTGCCTGTGTTCTTTGATTGGGACAGAGCGCTGACCTTTCTAACCTGCAGTCTTCACTGCTGTGGCTGGATGCTCAAGGGTCCTCACTGCTTGCAGGGACCAGTGTGGATCAGCCACCTTCTTCCAGGGAGGTAGGGGAGGAAGTTGGGAAGTGAGCCAAGAAAGGAAGCCAGCCTTTGGCGAGCTAGCTGCTGGACCCAGGACTTGGATCTCTTGGTTTCCATTTTCTAGAAATGAGGCTCCATTCTAAGAGGATTATTTGTTCCTAGAGAGAGGAAGGCATGACCAGATTGGTGAGGCCATGGCCAGAGCCCGTAACCTCTCATCTTGTCTTTTAGCCAGCAAGGAAGGAATCCTTCTGTTTCCTCTAGTGGAAGGCTCTGTGTCATCCCCCCTCCCCGCACAGTGTAGCCAAAGACTCAGGGACCTGCTGGCTGCAGGGCATGGGATGAGAGTGAGCATGACTGTTTACGTACCTGACCCCTCCCCAGAATAGTGTCACCTAGCCATCTGGGCCAATCTGAACCGCAGATGGAATAAACGGCTCCGATACACTGTGACATACAAATGATGGGAGAGGAGCCAGGCTGCTAGCTTTAATTCAGCTGGGACCCTGTGCCTCACAGGGCTCTGCTTCCTTCTCCTCCCCTCCCCCACTTGAAAGCTTTGATCCTCCAGTTTGGTTGGAACTGGCTGTTAAATCCAAGTTAGTCTCAAACTTTTATCCTGACCGGGCAGGGTTTTTAGCAACCATTATGTAGATTCACAGCAAGAAAGTATGGTACCCTCTTCCTACTCTGTTAAAGAATTCAGATCCGGGAACCCGCATTCTCGAGGTCATACAGTCAGGTTTACATCAAATGTGGCTAACTTCGAAAGGCTTGACTGAGTTCTTCACCCCAGCAACGGATGCCTTCTGCAGACTCCAAAGCTGCCCACTCCCCCCCGCACCACTACACACGCCGATGACAACTGAAAAGCAAGCCAGGTGCTCATGACTTTTAGATTTTATTTAACGCTGAGAACATTCACTGACCAAGTCATCAGTGGTGGGTTCCCGAGCTCTGATCACCTTACACTGGAACAGGCAACGTTTGGCAGAGGAGCATCCTTATGTGGCCTCAAAACAGGGTTCCACGCTGGCAGCCTAGTGGGCTGCAGTGCAGGGACACGTTCTGACTCACTCCTCCATCACCGGCAATTCACTGAGTGATGGTCTTCCTGCAGATGGTTGTGAGGCGGGCGATGCTGGACCACTGACCGCCAGCTAACCAGTAAAAGCAGAGGGACAGCAGCAAGGAAAGTTCTACCACATAATTAGGAACACAGCAAGGCACTCCCATCCCACGGCTTCCCTTCTTAGGAATGTACAGAAGATAAATATTGAGGTGTGGGAGGGAGAAACCATATTTACCCTCCAAGGGACTAGTCTGTGACGTTGCCTCCTTTTTCACTGCATTGCACTTGTGAGGTTATGCTGGCTGCTGCAATCTGATCAGAACTCATTTGTGAAGTTACACATACAGTCCTCTACCTAAAAAAGGGAAACAGTGGGGCTGGTGAGAAGGCGCAGTAGTAAAAGCTCTTGCTGGGAAAGCCTGACCTAAGTTCAATCCTCAGGACCCATGTAAAGGTGGAAGGAGATAAGTGACTCGGAAAGCTGTCCCTGACCTCCACACACAACATAACACACACACACACACACACACACACACACACACACACACACACACACACACACACACGTTTTTAAAAGATTTTTTTTAAAAGTGGAAACAATGAGCTGTAAAGAATGTGCATTTGCATGACAAATTTCCCATGGGGCAAAGCTAACATGTTTAAAATTTTGTGGTAGAAGGGTGGGGTGGATGGCAAGATGGCTCAGTGGTTAAGAGTGCTGGCTTCTCTTATAGAGGACCTAGTTTCAATTCCTAGCATCACAACTGTCTATAATTCCAGTTCCAGGGGATCTGATACCCTCTTCTGGCCTCTGTGGGCACTGCACATGTGGTTCATAGACCTATGTGCAGGCAGAAACACTCAACGAAATAAAAATAAATCTTTTTAAAAATGTTGTTGATCTTAAGGCATTGTGTATGCAACATTAAATATACTCAGATTTTTGGATATATGTAAGGCCTCTGGATGGCCACAGTGATTGTCTCAAGAAAGCAGTTGTCTTAGAGTTTCTATTGCCATGATAGAAAACAACGACAAAAGCAACTTGGGGAAGAAAGGGTTGATCTTAACTTACAGTTTCACATCACATTGCATCATCAAGGGAAGTCAAGGAGCTCAAAAGGCAGGAACTGAGGCATGGAGGCGTGGAGGAGGCTGCTTGTGGTTTGCTCCCCATGGCTCTCCCCAAGCTTGCTCAGCTGCTGTGGGATATTTGTACACTGTGTGAAGATGTGTTATTGTGCCTGGTTTAATAAAGAGCTTAATGGCCGTTAGCTAGGCAGGAGATATAGGCAGGACTTCTGGGGGACGGGGGGGGGGGGGAAGTAGGAGATAAATAATCTATGCCTCAGAGAGACCCCATGGAGATGCAGAACGAATTGAACACACAGAATGGGACAGAGGTAAAGGCCACATGCTAGAATGTAGATTAATAAAAATATGGGTTAATTTAAGTTATAAGAGTTAGGAGGACAAGCCTAAGCCAAGGCAGAGCTTTAAAAATTAATAATAGGTCTTTGTGTCATTATTTGGGAGCTGGCTGGTGGGACAGAAAAAGAGTCGTTACACTCGGCCTGCTTTTTTTTTATATCACACAGGACCTGCCTAGGGATGACTCTTCCCACAGTGGACTGGACCCTCCCACATCAATTGTCAGTAAAGAAAATGCCCTATAAGCCAACCTGGTGGAGCATTTTCTCAATGAAGTTTCCCTTCCCAAATGACTCCAGCATGTGTTAGTAGACATAAAACTAGACGGCTCATTGAGGATTTTATATGTCCCATAAAAAACCAAAGTGGTTTATACTGAAAATGTATAGCTTTTATGAACTCAGGGAGATCCACTATAGCATTTCCTGCTCTGGCTGTTTTCTTATTAGTAATTATCTTTTTTGGTTTCCACTTGCTTAGGTTTCTACATACTACACATCAGCAGACCCTCTGGGAGAATCGTCACATGGGCACTGGGGCCACTCCCCAAAAGCTCCTGGTGCCCTGCTTCACCAAATACAGACCTCGGAGCCTCTTTCCACCATTTTCTGTTTTCTAGGCTCTCTGAACACCTTTTAGTTTGGTGATATATCTTTGAGAAACTTCCTCAGAAATGGTGGTCAATTTTTTACTGTCTCTTACCAAACACCCTTAATTCTACTGGTCCCTGGTAGGTGAAGTGTAACTCTCCAAGCCCCCAAAAGTTACAGGCATGTATCTCACATCCTTTAATTTCCAATATCATCTTTTCAGGTTCCAAGTCATTCACTCACTCACTCTTTCTTCTTCCCCCTTTCCTCTTTATTCTACCACGATGCTTGTATCCAGCTGCCCTATCCAGCTGCACCTAAAGCTTTTAGAGTCTCCTTTGTAACTGGCTCTAAATTTTACCATCATATGTTGAACTTTAGAAAGTGTAAGGTTTTTATTGAAAAAGCACATGTTTGCAGAAGAGAGCACAGGTTATCAACAGCAGCTTGATGGATTTTTACAAAAACAAGCAATCGGATTCTGTAATAGAATACTACCAGGAGCCCGCAGCAGCCACAACACAGCCTAGTAGTAACCACTGTCAGTCATCTCTAGCATTATGCACTTGCTGGTCTGCTTTTGAATTTTTGTAGACACAGGATCATCAATGTGCTTTTTTGTTCCTGTCTCTCATTTCCCATTAAGCCTGTCAGATTCGCCCAGGGCACAGCAATTCATCCATTCCTGATCCATTACGTGAACATGCTACAATTAATTTGCCCAGTTTTAACGTTGATGGCCTTTTGAGTGCAGTGGGCTTTAGGTGTTACAGACAGGGCTGTACAAATGTGTTTGCACCTGGTCTTTGAATAAATGTATGCACTTCTGCTGCGTGTGGGAGTTCTTTTTCTCCTCCATATTTCGGTGGAGAGTGAGAGAGCCCTTTGGTTATTTTTATATCTCATGTTGGAGATTTGACCCAAAGCCTCAAGGTCGTTAACTGGCTCCCTCACTGAATTACACTTCCAGCCCCTCAGCAGACACTTTTGTCATGACATTCTTCTTCTCTTCCTCTCCCCCTTCCTTTTCTCTCTCCCTGGGACCTTGCACATGCCTAGGGAAGCACTCTCACCAAGTTACATCCCTCAGAAGGCATTTCTAACCTAACATTTACTTTTTAAACTTCTGGAAGTGTTTCTATGATCATTCTCTCTTCTTAAAATTTGTTTAAATTTCTTTCTGGAACTCTGTTACTCTACATTGAGCACATAGTATCTAGCCATTTAAAAGATATTTATCAGGGCTGGAGAGACGGCTCAGCAGTTAAGAGCACTGGCTGTTCTTCTAGAGGACCCAAGTTCAATTTCCACAGCTCATAACTGCCTCTAACTTCTGTTCCAGGGGATACAACACTCTCACACAGACAAAACACCAATGAACATAAAATAAAAATAAATATATAATTTAAAAAATATTTAGCTGGGCAGTGGTGGTGTATGCCTTTAATCCCAGCACTTGGGAGGCAGAGGCAGGTGGATATGAGTTTGAGGCCAGCTTGGTCTACAGAATAAGTTCCAGGATCGCCAGGGCTACACAGAGAAACCCTGTCTCCAAAAACAAAAAAAGATTTATGTGCATGAATATTTTGCCTGTATGTATGCATGCTGTGCGCCATGTGCATACATGTCTGTGGAGGCCAGAAGAGGTATTCAGAACCTCTGCAACTGGAGTTACACGTGGTTGTGGGGTTTGGAACCAAACCCAGGTTCTCTGCAAGAACAGCCAGTCCTCTTGACTACTGAGACATCTCTCTATCCATCCATCATTTTTTTATGTTGTCTTTGAGAACATTTCCACTTCTTGCAATCCTTCTGTTGGCGTTTTTGTTGACCCTATTTATAATTTACAGAGAGTTCAAACACGTCTCACCTTTGACTAGCCCCCTTATATTGTCTCACAGGTGCAACGTTTTCATGCCATAATTTTTAAAGTGAGTTTCCCACGCTCTCTGCAACGCCTTGGTTTCCTTCCCTTCTTTCCTGTTTGTATTGTTCTCTGTTCTGTGTGGGCCCCTGGCCACCACATACAGAGACAGATCCTTGGCTGCCTTGTAATGGTGAGGAGTGAGGCGTTTGTCTTGGTCTGTTTTCTTTTGCTGCAGCTGAGTGTCGTAGCCCAGGTAACTTACTTAGTGTGTAGTTTTGGCACTGTGAGATCCATTATCAGAGTGAGAGCATCTGGTGAGGACCTGGCACCATAGTAAGGGGTGTGGGGGCTCACATCTGTAATCCTAGGAAAACCGAAGCAGGAGGACCACGAGCTCCAAAGAGAGGCCCTGTCTGGAAGAAAACACCAAACGAGGCCAGAGGACATCGCACGATGAGAGCGAGCAAGCACGGTCGCTCAGCCACCAATCTCGGGCTCAGCCACCAATCTCGGGCTCAGCCACTAATCTCGGCAAAGAGCTGCGTCTTCATCAAACCCTGGTCACCTTGGAGAGGCCTCATTTCCAAGTACCTTTTACACGATTTGGGAGTTCTGTTCCCAACACCTGCCTGCCTGGGGAAGTTATGGAAGTGTTCAAAGTGCTGACTGAGCACATTGGGAAATGCCATCTCTGATGGTGAGGCCAAGCACCAGCCACTCTCCTGGGACTAGATGGCTATAATAACACTTTTTCTCCTTGGAGAACCAGTCAGCACCCCCAGAAAGGAATCATCTTACCTGGGCCCTAAATGGGAGGTCATAAAAGATGAAAACTGCACTGGCCTCGTTGGCAGTCTTGAGTCATGAGTGGCCATCTGAATGAAAACTAGAAAGTTAACCCCTCAGTGCCACAGGCCACATTTCAAACGGCAGCTTGGCCACCTGGTGATGGACATTGCAGACAGAAAACATTTCTTCATCTCAAGAGGTTTCAGGGTTTGGGGGGTGGGGGTGTGGGCAGGCAGCAAACAGGAGACCTGGGGCATGGAACTCAGGCTCATGCAAGTTAGGAGGAGGCTCTGTCACCAAGCCACGCCCACAGCCCTGCTCCAGGGTTGTTTTGTTGTTTGGTTTGTGTGTGTGTGTGTGTGTGTGTGTGTGTGTGCGCGCGCGCCAGCATTTGTGTATACTCAAATTCTCACAGGTATATGTGGAGGCCAGCAGTCAATTTCCAATGCTGTTTCCCAGGAACCACCCACAGTATTTTTTGAGACAAGGTCTCTCATTGCCCTGGAACTCCCTGATTAGGCTAGACTGGCTGGCTGGTGAGACCCACAGATCCTTCTGTCCCTGCCTTCCTACTTTGGGATTCGAAGCCCAGGCCACCATGCCTAGTTTTTTTTTTTTAAATATGGATTCAGCAATCAAACTTAGGTTCTGAACCTGTGTGGTGAGCAGTTTACTGACTGAAGCGTCTCTCTAGCCCGGTTTTGAGGACGGTGACATTAACATGTATTGCTCAGCTCTGACGTCCCTTGTGTGTTTTTCTTTATGTCCTAGTAAGCCACAACTATTATATCAGATCCGTAAGCGTCCTTCCCAAAAGATAAATCATAAGCACTGTGTAAAGAAAGTGTATTGCTTCCAGAATAGTTGTTAGAGAAGCCCTTCTTTTTCCCAAATGATTCTTGCTCCCTTCTCTATTGAGTTATGATAAAATGCCAGCGAGAATCTATAGCTTTTGTGGTGAGGGACACATACATCTCTCTTCATGGAAGCAGGTGCCTACAGAGCTTTGCTGTGTATTGAATACTAACTCCTTGGTGTGTGTCCCAAGGTCAAAAAGACCACTGTCTTGAAAATGCTGACCTTAGGTAGCAAAGATCTGGAAGTCCCTGTTAACACTGTCCCAGAGCTGGGGTGTAACACAGTGGTAGAGCACTTGCCTAGCATGTGCAAAGTCATGCCCCATCCCTAGCACCACAGCAGGGAAAATGTCCTCGATCCAATAAAGGGACAGTGCAAACATTCTTCTGGGGTGTAAAATTTAATGAAATATGAAGAATCAAAAGAGAAGTTGCTATTGCTCAGTCTTGAAATGTCCTCCAAATGCCCATGTGTTAAAGCTTTCATTGCTGGCCTTGGCTTATCTGGCTGTGGAGGTTTGGATGAGAATGCCCCCCTAGGCTCCTCTGTTTGAATGTTTGATTACCAGTTGGTGGAACTGTTTAGGAAGGATGAGGAGGTGTGGCCTTGTTGAAGGACGTATACGACTGGGGGCGGGCTTTAAGGTTTCAAAGTCCATGCCAGACTTAGGCTCTCTGTCTGCCTCCCTCTTATGGATCAACTGTGAGCTCTTAATTACTGCTCCAGTGCCATGTGTGCCTACCTCCTGCCATGCTCCCCACCATGATGATCGTGGACTAATAACCCTCTGAAACTATAAGCAAGTCCCCAGTTAAACGTCTTCTTTTATAAGTTGCCTTGGTCATGCTGTCCCTTCACAGCAATAGAAAAGTGACTATGACACCAGCAGATGAAACAACCCTTAGGAGATGGGAATTAGCGGAAAAGGTGGGCTGTTTGGTGTGTTTTCTTATAAGGCATTGAGACCACAGTCCCCTCCTCTGCTTCTTGGCTGCCATGAAGTAAACAGGCCTTCTCTGCCACCACTGTGATGAACCCTGCCATCACAGAACCAAAGCAACAGGGACTGAAACCTCTCCAACTTCGGTAAGATACACATTTCTTCCATTTAAAGTTGGTTATCGCAGGTGTCCTGTCAGTGATGGAATGCTAACACAGGCACGATCACAGTAAAGTGTCATCCTTGTAGCTGGCAGATCCTGAAACATCACCTTAGTAATAAACATAACTTCAAATTCATGTGAGGTTAAATTACTTTGCATGCTAGTATTCATATCCTTGAGACTGAAATGTGTATGTTAGCGTGTGTATCTGCTATCTAAAAATCCTTGAGGGTACCAAGTGCAGTACAGGTTATAGTTCCATGTGATGAAAAACTACTCAGGTTTGGTAGCTCAGGAGGAAAAGGATAACTGACAATTAGCTGCAGATTTCAAAGTAACATGTAGAGTGGACTTTGAATGTTTCTAGCACAAAATGATAAATGTTTGAGGTAATAATTAATCCTAAACACACAATCTGATCGTTATACTTTGCATGAATATACTGAAGTATCATCGCACCCCATAAAAGCAAAGGCTATATGCAAAGTAAAAAGAAAAAATGCCATTTCACTGGGACCCAGGCTCCTAGGAGTTAGCTCTCTCCCTGTTTGGGCTGACTTCCACTAAACTCAACACTTGTCTCTTGCTTTAGTAAGTGTTCATTCACAGTCCTCTTTCTGCACATGTTTAAGATCTACCCCCCAAATTACAAAACTATTTTTAAAAATTCCATGGTTTTGTCAGGCATGGTAGCTTGTCTTTAACCCCAACACTCAGGAGGCAGATATCCGAGTCAGAGGCAGGCAGACCTCCTCAAGTTTGAGCCAGCCTGGTCTACATAACAATTTCCTGGCTAGTCAGGGCTATAGCCTTGCCTTACCCCCACCTCACCGTCTCCCCGCCATTATTTCTTTTAAAAATACTAGGCTGAAACTCTAACACAGAGAACAGGGTAGACACTGCTGTTATGATCCCGGGGTGGAGGTGGGGCTATGATCATTTCAGGAAGCTCCGTAGGTTCATCTGTGTGTATCTGAAAACAAAACAAAACAAAAAAACAAAAACAACAAAGGAGCAAGGGCCTTCTGCACAGCGCCAAATACTAGGAACACAAAGATAGGTGGCAAGGCAGACAGTTCTAAGCTATCCCAATATGATCTGTGCTATGGCCAGGACATGAGCATATCCAGTCTCCCTGGCAGGTCAAAGAAGGGCTTAGACATGGATTCTCTTTCTACAACTGCCTGTGGTTTACCTACCTTTATTTAGTTCATCGTGACCCAGCAGAGGAGATGCTCCCACTTGAGGACCCTCTGATGACACACCAGGCCACCTATCCTTTGCCTGAGTGATGGAGGAGGTCCTTATGCATGCTGTGAATATATTTTTCTTTTATTGGTTGATGAATAAAGCTGTTTCAGCCAATGGACAGGCAGGATGTAGCCAGGCAGGAAGTATAGGTGGGGCTACAGGATTAGGAGAATGTTGGAAAGAGAAATTCGGGAGTTGCTGGAGAGAGTCACCAAAGGAGTAACATGCCTGAACATTATGAGTAAGCCACAGTGCCGTTGCAATACATGGTTTAATAGAAATGGGTTAATTAATAAGGGAGAGCTACCCAATAAGAAGCCTGAGCCATAGGCCACACAGTTTATAATTAAGATAAGCCTTTGTGTGTTTGTGACCAAACAGCTGCAGGAGTAGGCAGGACATGAACGTCCATCTACACCTGAGTGT